GAAGCCTTCTGTAGAGCCTGCAGATGCTACTGCTTTGTTCCTCAAACTCAAATTGCAAGCTAAATAAACTCCTTTTTCTTCACAAAGAACCCATCCTCAGGCATTGTGTCACAGCAATGGCTGATGGACCAAGTCCACAGGCAACGAGCCACAAAAGGCTCTTGCCTTCTTTTTATTTTAAAAGCCTAAGTGTGTAGGTTATGGTTGCTTTCAAACATAGCCTGCTTATAAAAGAATTAGATAGCAAATGAATAGACTCCATCCCACCCTCAACCCTGAAAATATCTTTGTATTTCAGACCAGTGAGTTGCTTCTTTTTACATAAAAAGCAGCATCTCATTGTGTTAAAAATAGTGTGCTTAAAGACAATTTAAAATCCTGTGCTTAAAAACAATTTGGTTTTTTTTAGCGTCTTACTATTTTTATCTCATTGAAAGTATCTCGAAATTTCATTTATAAAATCATTGCCTGTTAATTCCATTCTTTTTTTTCTCAACAAGCATTATTGTCTTCCTTAAAAGGCAGCAAAATAAAAATCTCATCCTCTTTGTTTTTATTCGCTTGTTTTTTAAGACTCTGAATTAAGGATGTTATTCTTGAGACTTAGCTCATCAGTACAATGAAGTACAAGCTTAACATTCCTACACACACAATTGGGATGGGTCCACTGCATAAGTGATGAATATAGTCATCCTCTGGGGTTGAACTCAGTTTTCAGATGACCCAGCTTGTAGGTGGTGTTGCCTAGAGCTGAACCTCAAAAACTAGTTGCTGGGCTCTTAGTTTTCTATCAACTTGTAGGTAAACCAGTTGCCCTTTTGACAGCTCTTTCCTTCCAAAGGCTCAGATGACTTAGGGCCCTTCGTGTTGGAGAACCTTCAGTCCTAAATGTCTGCATTTGGAAGCGTGAGAGGAAAAGCATTAGTATTGCATACTTTATCTTCTCCTCTAATATGGGAACATCCTTCAAAGAGAAATCATGCATCTCACATCCACAGAAGTCTTTTCATCCTTTCCTGTGATCAAATTGTTCTTAATTCCTGGTTTACCATTCCTTGCTGCAAAGGAAGAACCTTCAAGTGTATAAGACAGTGCAGCCTTGTAATCCCAGCACTGGAAAGCTGAGGCAGAAAGACAGACAGTTTGAGGTAGCTTGGGCTGCACTGTAAATTCAAGGTCAACCAGGGCACATATTTAGAACCTCTCTCAAAAGAGAAGACAATGCAAAACAAAACAAGGAGCATAGGGTAATGGCATGCCAGACCCCGCTGGATTGGACTCTGGCTTGGACTCCTAGCTCCCACACTTCCCTTTTTAGTTTTGTCAATTGTAAAATGCGGATAAAAATCTTTCCTTTGTTGTTATTGATTCAAAGACTTCAGATTGGGAAAGCTCTTAGAAGTTTTCCCAGCACTGTTACCTTCCAGGTGCCATTGAAGCTTTGGGATCTGAAATCTTTTCCTAGGTTTTGCTGTAGTTAGTGAAAATGATTGATCTACTGGATCCCCAAGGCTCTTTTCCAGATCTCTCTTAGAATTGTCAGGCTATGTGAGAAACGATTAGTATGCTGCTATTGTCAATAAAAATAGGAAGTAATAGACACCTTTTATTAAGCCCATACTATATGCCTATTCTTTTATCATGTATCATATATAGGCAATTGAACGGATGCTTATAAACTTTATATGCTTATGTATTTTGGGGGGGGGGGTCTGGTCGTGGGGCCTGAACTCTGGGCCTGGGCACTGTCTCTCAGCTCTTCAGCTCAAGGCTAGCGCTCTACCACTTGAGCCACAGCACCACTTCCGGCTTTTTTCTTTTTGCTTATGTGGTGCTGAGGAATGGAACCCAGGGCCTCAGGCATGCAGGGCAAGCGCTCTACACTGAGCCACCTTCCCAGCCCCTGCTTATGTATTTTTGCAAGTGATGAAACAGGTCAGTTTAATTATCTAAGTGCCTGCTATAGAGCATCCCATTTGCTATTTGAATGCAAGTATATTCAACTGTGACCATTGTACTCCCTGCCTTTTCCTTCCTACTACTTCCTGGAGAGAAGAGAGAATGGTGGGGAAAGATGAGGGAGGGGGAGAAGAGAGCTGGGGGAGAGGGGAAGAGAAGAGGAGAAGAGAGGAGAGGAAGCCACAGAAAAGGAGAGCAACGATTAGCACCTCCTGGTGTACTTGGTGTAATAAGTGGCTTAAGCCACAGCAGTCCTGGCAGGCCGCCAGTGGTGGTGGGATGAGTGGCAAGGGGGCTATGATCATGTGGCCAGATGTTCTCAACCTTTAAGGCTGTCTGTGCACCTGCCATAGGGCCCATGGGACTGCAGGTCACGATCCGGGTCTCTGTTGAAGGCAGAGTAAGGCTAACCTTGGTGAGTAAGTGGAAGAATTAATTTTTCAAAGCAGGAGTCATCAGGAAATGACCTCTGCTTCTGATAGCAATGAAAGCTGGATGCCTGCTGCTTGCTGGCTCAGCTACACTTGGGGGCTTCCGGTGCCCACTTGGGGCCACCTAAATTAAGCTCATGATGAAAAGTGTCATTTCTGCAGGCTTGACCTTCGTTATTTATACAAGGAAGCCATGATGCTGAGCACCCACCCACCAAACACTGCCTTTCATCTGCGGGCTTCCTTCCCTCTTCCTATGCCAGTGAGAATGAGGCCACACTGGGTCTCACTTTTGTGGAGCTGTCTCAGCTCCAGTAAAACCTGGAGCATCAAGTACACATAAGACCACACTAGACCTCAAGGCCATGCTTCTGTAGACTTGTCAGTTTCCTTGGCTCCAAGTGAGACTGACACCTGACGTCCTGTTGGCTGCCAGCACTATCCACCCTTGAGGGAGTTCCCAGCTCTCTCAATATAAATAGCCTTATGGCTGGGGTCAGAGCTTTACCTTTACTGCTCTCTCTGCCAATAGCATCTCATTGCATACCTGTGCGCAGCTTGGATAAAGAGTTCAGGGAAAAGTCTCATCACAGCCCATCTTTCTAGAAACACTGCACTGGGACAAGGCTTTCTGTCTCATCACTTCCACCTTGGCCCATGTCTAGGTTAACTATCCTTTCCCATGAAGCATGTTATGAGATCATCTCTGAAGCCTATGGGCATGGCAGAGGAGATTTTGTTTCACTTATTTATCTATTTATGTACTTATTGTGTTGTCCTGGGGCTTGAACTAAGGGCCTGAGCACTGTCTCAGAGCTTTTCTGCTCAAGGCTAGCACACAATCACTTGAGTCACACCTCCACTTCCAGCTTTTATGGTAGTTAATTGGAGATAAGAGTTTCACATACTTTCCTGTCCTGTCCAGACTGGGTTCATACCTCAGTCCACAGATCTCAAGCTCCTGAGTAGCTACGATTGCAGGCCTAAGCTACCAGTGCCTGGCTTACTCTTCCTCCTCGTCCTCGTCCTCCTCCTCCTCCTCCTCTTCTTCTTCCTCCTCCTCCTCCTCCCCCTCCTCCTCCTCCTCCTCTTCCTCCTCCTCCTCCTCCTCCTCCTCCTCCCCCGTCTTTTTTTTTTTTTTTTGAGCTAAGAAAATCAGTCTCAGAAAGACAAAGGTGAGTTGCTCCCCATTGGCCTTGGGCTGGACTTGTGCCCTGAGACCCTCTGCACACACATATTTTGCAGCCAGTCTGTGCCCTTACCTTTTGTGGGAGAGCACAGCATTTCCTGATCTTTAGATCTGGCTGTGCTTTTCTGAAAGTGTGACTCATACCCACTTGTTACTGATGTTGATATTCAGAAAGGTTGAAGATGGAAGAGCTTGGCATAAGTTAATGATGGCCTTGTAAGACAAGAGGGCATAATTCCTTTGGGTTTGGCCAGGGTTCAGTCACTGGAAAGTCCACTCCACTCAAAGAGAAGAGTGGACTTTCATCCACATGACAAGCAGCGGGGCTCTACTCCAAGCTCCCTTCCCATTGTCCCCTCCTCCTGAACTTCCAGGGTCTGAAATCCCACCATCCTGGATCTTGAAGACTAATTGTCTATATAGAGATCCCATTAAAATAAAAGTTCTTCCAGTGTTTGTAACAATCCATATGGGTGTTTGTATATTAAAAAGATTACCTGAAATACAGATGCAAAAAGGTGATTAAAGTCCAGACAGCTGGGAAGGGCTGCAGAGATGGTCCATTAGAGGAGAGTGGTATCTGGAGCTGATCCAACCCTGGGAAACACAGGATGGGTAGGCTCTGAGATACCATGAGCTGAGTGTGTAGGTTTGGTTGAGGCCTTCAGAGCCATTCAGGTTGCTTTGACCTCCTCTGGGCCTAGGAATGTAAAACAAGTGGTTAATGATCTCAGTGTTCCCCACTTAATGCTATAAGAGAAGAGAGAGGCCCCTGGGGACATAATATGGATGCTATGTCCAAAGTTGGAATGAATCATATATTCAGGAAAGTGTGGCTTCTGCCAAGTTATTCTTTGAAAAAGTGAAAAAATTAGAGGTGACAGAGGATCTGTGTATAAGGATGTAAGTGAAGAACCTTTAAGGTCAGGAGGGCAGGTACAGGGCTCACCCCAACACCAGCACATGGGGACAAAGACCTAGGGGACCCCAAAGGCTGATAGGGGTTCAGAACCAATATTCTAGAGTCAAGATACATGCCAGGGACTATTTGACCTACAGCTGCTAAAGTATATGGGAACATTCTTTGGATGCCATCTCAAAAAACACCTGTTCTTACTAGGAGGTCATGCCTGTAATCTTAGCTACTCAGGAGGCTGAGATCTGAGGATCATGGTTCAAAGCCAGCCCGAGCAGGAAAGTGTGAGACTCCTATCTCTAATCAACCACCAAAAAGCCAGAAGTGGAGCTGTGGCTAAATGGTAGAACACGAGCCTACCCCAGAACTGGCACCAAACAATAGAAATGTCTGTTCTCTATGGTTTCTTGAGCAAATGTGACTGTGTGCAGGACCTGTTCAGGGCATGTTGGCTCATTCCACAGTTTTCAAGGGGCTTCTTTTCTTTCCCATCTTATTCCTCCAGCCAGCGAGACCTGCAATGACTTCCATCCGATGTTCTTCACCCATGACAGATCCTTTGAGGAATTTTTCTGCATCTGTATCCAACTCCTGAACAAAACCTGGAAGGAGATGCGAGCAACTTCTGAAGATTTCAACAAGGTAAGGTGGGCCTGAGGAAGAGGCAGGAGCCTGAATTCTCTGGGGGACTGCATTCTCCGGGGCTCTGGCACCCCCAGGGGCACTCAGCACATGGAGAAGGGGGCTGGCAGTGAGAGAAAGAGGAAGATGGCTTTTCCATCGTCTCCAAATGGCAGCATTCGCTAGGGGATGTCTGCCGTAGCCACCAGCAGACACTGCACAGAGGAACCATGGTGAGGGTGAACCTTTTCCGTCATGGCATGCGGGGATCTGAGTTGGTGGTGCAAGCTCAGTTGGGGAGGAACCGTCTCCCATTTGTACAAGAGACAGCATGGCTCCCCATGACCCAGGAGACTGCTCTGCTCCATCTGTTGGTTTCTCTGTAGCTTGTGCAGGTATGGAAATCTGTAGATCTTTCATCAAAAAGAAATTTTATTAAAACACAAGATCTGTTTTCAGGGAATCGAGTAAGTTTATCTGAAGCAGTTTGTGGTTTAAAGTAACGGTTAAATCCTTGCACTGAAATATTCTTTGGTTTTCTGCCTTATAAAATATCTCTCAAGAGTGTGACTGGCACATTTCTCACACTGTGTGTGGAGAGGTGGTGAGCAACTGAAAGAAAGGAGAAGCTCAGCCCATGCTTTTGCACAGGAACTATTTACCTTTTGATTAAATAGCCGTAATTCCATGGTTAATGTTAACTGGTTGTAACCTTGGGCAGACATAGGTTAGCCTTTAATATTTTTTTCCCAAGTGATGGTACTCAGGGCCTCACACTCATTCAACTTGCTCACCCAGCTGTGGTGCTCTACCACTTGTACCATACATGCCTCCAAGTCTGGCTTTTTGCTCTTTACTTGAAGATAGAGTTCCATGGACTTTTCTGCACTGCCTAGCTTTGAACCCTTATCCTTCATAATTCAGCCTTCTGAGTAGCTAGGATTATAGGCATGAACCACCAGTACCTTGCTTAGCTCTTAATACTCTTTTTTATTTTTTTAAACATTGGTCCTTGGGCTTGAACTCAGTGCCTGGGTGCCGACCCTGAGCTTTTTTGTTCAAGGCTAGTGCTCTACCACTTTGAGCCACAGCTCTACTTGAAGCTCTTTTTGGTAATTGATTGGAGAAAAGCATCTCACAGGCTTTCCTGCCCAGGCTAGCTTCAAACTGTGATCTTATCAGCCTCCTAAGTAGCTAGGAATATAGCCCTGGATTACTGGCACCTGGCTTTCTTCTGGCACTTTTAATTTGCTCCTGAATATGGGACTCGATGTGACTAGATCCATCACTCTGGCTCACTCTCCTGGTACTAAGGATTAAACCTACTCTGTAAAGGTCACAGAAAGAGGCCCAAATGATGCCCCTCATGGGAAATACTGCCAGAGAAGCAACCCAGGGCTGCTGGGTATCTGAGCAGCTGTGCCAAGATAGGCATAATTCAGGGACAGTGGAGAAAACGGGCACATTAGTTCTTTTGTGATACAACCCCAGCCTTCTCTTCCTACTTCACTTGATGATGAGAGCCTTTGCAATTCAGGCGCAAATCAGGCCCAGGCAAGAGGCAGCTTTTGTACAATCAAGCCAGAGAGAGAGAGAGAGATAAATCATTCATCTTTGAAAGTGACTAAGGCCACTTTGCCCTGGACCAGCAAGACTCTGTCTTGCTGTGTGAATGTGACCCAGTCCTGAGCTTTCTGTGTAGGGACACATGTTCCCCTGGGAGAAGGTTGCTCATGACCATTGTGGACTGTTGGTTTCTTCCGTCAAATTAGATACCAAAGAACGGTCACATGTGTGGGTTTTTTCCCCCCGGATTACTTTATGAACTAGAAAAGTATTATCATTTCTATATATTTTATCACATATATGTTGCTTTGCTATTGCCGTTGTAGTTACTTCAGACAGCAGTGAATTTATTCCTTTAGTTCAGAAAGCAGAACCATGTCTATGCTTTTAGCTTATTTCTTTTTAAAAAAAATTTTTTTATTGTAAAAATACTGTACAGAGGGGTTACAATTACATGGGCAAGGTAATGAGTATATTTCCTATCAAGCATTGTTGCCTCCTCCTTTGTTTCCCCTTCGCATTCCTTCCCCTCTACCCCTGGCCAAAGTTGTATGATTATTTCTTGTTGTTGTTGTTGTTTTGTTTGCCATTACTGGGGCTTGAACTCAGAACTTTGAGCTCTTCTCTTGCTTGTCTTGCTTGCTCATGGTTGGTGCTCTAATGCTTGAACCACACCCCCAGCCTGGCTTTTTGCTGATTAGTTGAAGACAGAATATCTTGGTTCTTGGTCCTTTCTAACCTGACTGGTTTCAAATGGAGATCCTCTGATCTCAATTCTCTGAGTAGCTAGGAGTATAGGCCTGAGCCACAGGTGCTGGGCTCCAATCCTGGGGTCTTAGGTATACATATCAACTTCCTTAAAATGGACAGCTTGAGCCTTTTTGTTTATTTTGGGTTGTTTTTTCAATAACCTAGCTAGAATTCTGCTGTAGCTTCTCAAATACAGATATATTTATTTCCCCTTTTTTTCCAGGTCTTGTTCGGCCTCATCTGGCCTTTTATATAAAGAAGGACTTTTATGAGAATCACAGATCATCTTTCTGGGTTTTTCTGCCTCATGTTTTGCTTTATGCAGCCCCTGTTTTGCTTTATGCAGAATAAATAGAAGAAGAAACAAGTGCCGGAATTTAAGTCAGTTCACATTTCTTCTTGTTATTAACTTGCTAGCACAGGAGATTGAATTTAGGAACAAATGTGATAGATGTAATATTTTTTTCTGTTCCCTAAGACTGTCCAAAATCAAACTCTGAAATATCTTTTAAAAAGAGCCCCAAAACAAACACCATTTCTTTTTTAACTTTCTCGGATACCAGCTCCAGCGTCATCATGTTTCACCAAGCATGAAAGGTGAGATTACTTACTAGCCCTGAGACCCCAGGAATCAGCTATCTGTTCTCTTAGGCACATCGCTGGAGTAGCAGTGCTCTTTGATTCAAAAGTTTAACTTATCCAGCACAGCATGCCAGACTCTAAGGAAGGCTGACTAGCTCCTGCCCGGCTTGGATGTTGGTCTGTAGATGACTAGTGCTTGCTTGTGAGTGTGAGTTCTGTCTGCATGGGAGAGCTTGGAAAGCACCTGCCTTCGGCTTTACCAGGTCTAAGATACAGAAGATGGGAAGGTTTTGTATTTCTGCAAGAGAAGTCGAACTGGAGAGCTCTTCAAACGTTGATGTCTCAGAAGGTTCTTCCAGCTTTTCAGTGTTGGAGTCTGCAGGTTAATCCAAGGATTCAAGCCATTGAGTTTCTATTCTGTAGTTTTGCTTTTCTTATCAATATTTGAGAGCATGTGTTATTCATGACTAGGGACACTACAGAAGCCTTGGGAAAGGCTTCCCAGAGGGATAGAAGAAGCCAGAAGAAGCAGGTGGATTGAATAATCCAGGTAGAGAATCTTATTTAAAGCTTATGTGGCCACTGTTCCGACCTTTGAATAAAGGTTTGCAGAGCAAAGCATAGGCTGGGGAGTTACAACAATTCTCCACCTGACTGTTAAAAATCATCTGGGATTCAGTAGCTCAGTGCCTATTTGCACCACAGATCATTTGACCCACAGGGAGGAGGGCAAAGCCATCTTCACTAGCTTAGGTTGAATAGAAAGTGGCTCGTGTCAACAGGATTCCTATTAGCTGACGTGTGTGACACATACCACCCACTACTAGTAGGCCACCAGCATTGATAGAACAGGGTGACTGTGTCTTGAATATGTCCTCTTGACATATTTAGGAATCCTCTTTCTGGTTCTGTAAGAAACATGCTTGAACTCTCACTCTGCTCCCTCAAGAACTCTGAGCCTTAAAATTCATTAATAAATTAATAAATAAATAACAAATAAATTACAACTAGTATCTCATCGGGTGTTAGGGTAATACATGTAAGAACAACTCCAGGAAGTGAAAAGACACATGCCATTGTAAAGTGACCTTTTAGTCATCATAAGATAAATTCTGTCTGTGGAAGAGGTGTGTTTTCCTTTTCTAAAGAAGACTGTTTTGTCTATTATGTTTAAAAAAGAGAGAGAGAGACAAAGAAAAACTATGAACCCCCGCACCCTCATTATGTTCTGAAATGAATTAATAATCCATTCAGCAGTGGCAAATAAGCAGTAAGCTGATAATTCTGTGGATTCCACCAGTCTGCTAACAACTCTGTTGAACCTTAGCTTCCCAGGAGAGACATCATGGGTAACAACCTAACATTCAGCAGGTCCCACCATTCCTGTGTACTTAGTGGCTGGAGAGAATGAAGATTTAGTTTTCCAGCAAAAACAAAAAAACAAAAAAAACCCCACTGCTTGTCCAACTTGTCCAATGATGGTTGAGCCTTTTTAAAGACAATCAAAATTATCTATTTGCTCAATAGTTGGTACAGTGGCATCCACCTCTTATCCCAGCTACATCAGAGGATGAGATCTGGGGAGATTGTGGTTCCAGTCTAGCCTGGGGACAGATAAAGTTCATGAGGTCCCATCATAACAGAAAAAACTGAGGGTAGTGGAATGTGTGTGTGTGTGTGTCTTCTCAGGTACAGCAGAAGCCTGAATAGGAGGATCATGGTCTAAGCTAGCCCCCTCAAAGATGGAAACCCTCCCTCAATATTGTTTCTTGGACCAGAAAGAGCTGGCAGTGTGGTGCAAGCAGTAGAGTACCTACCTAGGGAGTCATGAGTTCCAACCTTGGTGATGAAGGGGAAAAAAAAGAAAGAAATCTGTTCAGCTCATTAGTTTCCCTTTTAGACCATCAGAATCAATGTTATAAGCCAAGATGACATAACTTTTGTGGGGTTTGCAATTCACCAAAGGGGAAGAAATCAATGATTTGAAAGATGTAACCTCCTCCTCCACAGAGTTAAAGTGCAACTTTGAACTTGATCCAGTCGCACAGATGATAAAGGCTAGAATCTCAAGACTCACAGCTGAGAAACCTCTGTTGAAAACTCCAGAGGCTGTGCAAGGTCAG